ACGGTGAGACGGTGAGACGGTGAGACGATGATACTGCGTGGTATATAAAAATATATATATATGTATATAAAATATCGGGGATAATATCGGTACGAATGAGGAGGAGACGTTTCGCTCGGCCACGGTTGACCTGGCTGCGCAATTCGAGATAGAGGCTCTTACCTAGGGCGGTGATGATGCAATAGACAGGGAACAACACAGAGAGATAGAACTGGTCACGAATGGAGGCCTAAAGTCGTGCACGTCTACTCAACGGGTCAAACTGCCGACTCGTGCTGTGCTGGGTTCAAACGACAGGCGATTTCGCTCGCCGAGAAACACGCGGAAACAAAATCACACCAAGCTCTGGGTACTACGTTCACTACTGGGCTGGTTACAGGGTCTAGTCGGTTGGACGTGGTGTTAGTTTGCTTTGTCGGCGATCGACGTGGACAATGCGTTCCCCATTACCTCTTACACAGTGCGAGACTTTCTGATGGTGCTTTTGCGGTTAGCGGTGAGAGAAAGAAATTCAGAGACTACGGAGGAGACGAGAATGCCACGGTGGACGCGCGTCACTCGCTGCTAGGGGTTAATTCGAACGATGCCACTCGGGGGACGTGTTTTCGATCTCGATGATCCAATCGATCTCTAGGATTTCTGAGTTCGGTTTGTTGCAACTGCTTTATCGTCGATTATTTGCTAGTGAGCGTTCTATGCTTATGTTTAAATATTAACAGTCGAGGAAATATCAGTACAGATATTGACAGTTAATATTCAAAGTAATCGACATTGAAGTTGAAGTTCTGTTTGCAATCTTCGAGTCACTATTTCGAGTCTTACGAGTCGCACGATAATATAAAGGAGTTAATAATTGACTTCTAATTCGAAACAATTAATACAACGAACAGAGAATTCATTCCATTCGAAACTTCGCAATTTTCTCGAAAAATAGAAGATCATGCGACTCGTGTTCCCGGAGTGGCATCGGTTTCGAGTAATATGCGCGTCCACGTGGCTTCAAGACGAGCTAGGATGATAAACAAAATGGCAGGCGTCTCTAATTAGGATCTGGCGTGAATGAAGGCGTCCCGGGCAGTTTTTCCGGTGATTGTTCGTTTCGACAGTGTTGTTGCTGTTGTTGTTTTGTTTGGTTTTTGTTTTACAGTGGCGTCACCTTTTGAAGCTGTCGAATGCGGACCGCTTTGGCGGTGCTGCAGGGTCGACCTTGTCCCAACCTTCGGTCTTCGAGGTAGTCGACGTACGGTGTTCGCTGGAGCTCGTGTGATGTCGACTTCAAGTTAGTCACCAACGTGCCAATGCAGAGAGAGCCAATCAGAAGGCGAGACAGAAGTCGAGCAGGGGGGAACAGGGGACATTATTATTTTTGTTAACTTCTGGTTGGTTAGTTTCGTTTCTGCCGCTTCCGTTTTCATTTTCGTTTCAGCGGCCACGTTACACCGGCAAAGTCGCTAACACTCTTTCGGAAAATTTCTAACGTTCCTTGGCGATCGACGACCGATCGACGACTAATCTCTGCGAACATTTGTGGAACCTCGTTAACACCAGCTTCACGGACATTTGTTTTATAGTTGATTCTATTTTTTAAAGAAGTTGATGTTCATTTGAATCAATCTTTAGGTGTTCAATGTTTAGGTGTTCCATAAATCCAGTGTTAAACGAGGATAAACGCATTTCTCTTTCTCTCGTTGCAGCCGTTCAATATCGTGGCTGCACAATTTGCGGCCGAGAAGTTTCGAGTGCAAACCGTTCGAAACTCCGTCGTCGACGAGCACGGAAGTCCATCGCCAAGAAACTTTGCGTACAAGAGGCGTTCGAAAAAAAGATCCATTCCCAGGGTAAAATTAGACGTTTCCCTTCGTATTTACATGTAAGAGAGGTGTGTAAAGTAGCACCGGAAGCTTCGAGTCGCCGACATTGCTTGAAAAAGAACGTTCGACAAGTTATGCACGGCGTTTTCGTTTCGAGCCTCCGCGGTGCTTCCGTTCACCGGCCGATTTGCGGAGCGATGTAAAAACCGGACGAGACGCGAGCGTTAAGTAGAAAGCTCTTGGTTTTTGTTTTTTCATGGACAAACAACGAAAGAATTCGGCACGAGACAGCTGACGCAAGCCGTTCGTTGACGCGTTTACGTCATCCCGTGTTACGCGTCGTTACATCACTCGGCAACTCGACAATTAGCCGGACTGAAACCGGGTATATCCGTATCGTGCCAATCAGCCATGGGAATTAATTCGATAAGTACTCGGAGATTCGAGTTCAAATAATTATCGTACAAGGAGATCGCCGCGATTGTCACGGGCATTTGTTTCAACCTTACTGAAAATGTAAATGAAACGTCTGATTAAGAAAAAATCTCGTCGGTACGCATATGATAACGCTGCCTTTAAGAAGACCAAAAGCGTTCGCGTAGGATCGTCGACGAGAAAAATTCGTCGAGAGAAAAGAAACAACGTACACCGTTCGACCGATCAATTGAAAACTAACCGCTGAATAAAACTGAAATAAAAGTCTCGTTACGGTCATTGCGTAAGCCAAACAACGACGGTTAAAAACGATCATACCTGTTCGCATGTTTTTTCCGAGCCAGGAACGTCGATTTGTCTTCGAACTTGCGAAACACACGAATGCTGATTAATCAAAGCAAAACCGTCTTGATTCGAGAACGGGCGTGCCCGTTCTCTCTCTCTCTTCGTTTCCCGTGCGGCAACGAATGTTCAACTTGTTGGACGCCGATCGATGCTGCGCCAATTATTCCGCCGATTAATCAACGGCCCGTCGCGATCGTCGCGTCTCGCGCCGTAAATTAATTTATCACCGATCCAGGCCGCCCAGCGTTATTTATAGGTGCCGGCTCGGTACAGGTTTCATAAAACTGATAACCGGAAGTCGCGGCTCCTCTTCGGGGAGGCCGCCGACCTGGAGGGTACGAAAATAGTGCGCCAGCTGCCGACGCGCGGTGTCATGGCTCGATGATATTAACCCCCTGGCTCGTTTCTGTCCCTTACGGGCCGAACCGTCTATTTCGGGGATTCGATAATCTTTTGTCGTTCGTGCCCGATTCCTACTTCGTGCACGAACAAACAGCTGCTGGCGAATGCGGCCCCGAAACTAGGGATTCCTGTGTTCGTTCTCCGGAAGGGAGAGAAACGATTCTTTCGAACAGGGATCGCGGGAGACCGAAGCGAGTCGAATCGCAGGATGAATTGAAATGAAAGACTAGAGCAAAATGGGTGAGAATTACATTTGCTTACGAAAGCAGATAATCAATTGTTGAAAATATTCATAGGATACACCGAGGCAAATCGGATCAGAGTTAAAAATTCTACCTCGATCTTGAGAATTACAGATCTTCTACCATGTAATTCCTTTTAGATTTGTGTCAGTAAATATTCCAGTATTTTCGTTTCTCCAGTGGCAAAGTGAAAGAGAACCGATTCACCTCGGTCTAGCTCATCGGAGCAATTAGCGCGAACAGAAATAGAATACAGTCCCGTTGAACACCGAATAAAACACAAGGGAACTGTGTCAACGCTTTCTTGTCTACGCCGGATATTAGACAATCGTATATACGGCGAACACGCAGTTCAGTCGTAAACGACGGAAAGGTCGATCAATTTGTCGATAAAACGGGAGAGCGGCACAGATATTATTTCCCGCTGAACGCTCCGCCGACGAGCGTCTCCGTCGTTCCCATCGGAATTACGCGAAACGAGACAATTTCGACGGGAAAACGTCGTGCATCCTGTCACGCGAAATAACGTGCCGGTACGCTTTATTCTACCCCTGGTGATCGTAAAAAGAGAGGGACGCGAATAGGCGGGCTGAAAGCCGATGACAGGGACCGCGCGATAAATAAAAAGGGAGTAATAATCCTCGGCAACTATAAATCGGACGGTTTCTAAATCGAACGCAGGCTGTTCACCGGGGCCAGGAAGAAATCAGTTCCTCCCCTGGGCGAAAAGGAAGATCGAGAGATGACAGGCTGCGGATGAGCCGCTGCCGCATTCTTCGATCACAGGGGACTAGAAACGACCGATACAGTTACCTCGACATGCAGACTAGGTCCGCGAACGGTTCCTCGTGGAACGAGATCGCTTCTCGGCCCGTAGAAACCTATCAACGTTCGCCGGATAAATAAATGTCTCGAAAAATGCCGGGAGCGCTTCGAGAGCGTAGCAATGGCGTCCCCAGGACGGCGCGGAGTCCGTGCGCGTGGACCCCGTAGCGCTCCGACGAGAAAAGCTAGCAGCGCCGACTTAGGAACCCGGACAAAGGATACAAAAGGGGACGTGTTTCCGCAAACAACCGCTTAATCTGAAGCAGGAGAGGAGGCTAGACGAAGGAGAAGAGGCCAGCACGGCAATCGTGGCCACAATTGGTCAGCCCGGGAGAGAAAGGCGAAGGGGAAAGAGGCGTGGGGAGCCGGGTAGAAATTAAAAGAGGTCTTCTTCTCTTTAGGGGGCCCCTTTCACACGGCACAAAAGGCCGAGCCGTATCGAGGAGATCGCGATGTCTGTCAAAATGTCTTTCACGGCGAAACGAGCAGGAAGCGGTCGCGTCGTCGCGGGAGCGACGGCCCGCGGAACGCCGCAGACAATTATTCTCGGCAGGAGAAAGGTCCTACTCGCGTCTCGCGGAGAAGAGGTCAACCGTGCCGAGCAGGATCTACCGAGGACGGGATTGCCGGGCTGGAAAGGGCACGCGATACGTTTCGTGCCGTTCGTTTCCGTGACTGGAAGAGGTCCCGTCGCGGCGACGGATAAGCGAAATTTCGAGGGAGACGGACGCCGGCTCGGCACGGCAGAAGTAGGCCCTCGACTCGAGCCGCCGCGAGTCGGAATGTTTCCTTCGCCAATGTAAAGATAGGACGGAGAACTTCTAATTTATCTCTGGCAGCACGTCAATGTATAATTTTATAAACTCCGCCGCGCGTACGCGTCGTTCATCGACGCGTACTTGACCCAGAAACAACGCGACGCGAGAAAAATCAATGACTGACACATACCGGCGGCGTGCGGCCGCGACAGCGGGTTGACAGACGATCGCCCTTCGATCGCCGGCGCGCAAACTTGTCGCGCAAACTTTCAATTAACGACCGAGCGAAGCCAACACCTCGAACGGTGATGGACGGATCGCGGGGGTCGTTATTTCTCAGGAATCCGAGGGGAAAGTCGATGCAGATGCGATCTCGTCGGAGGACCAATTGCCGGCGAGCGTATTTTCTTGTTACGCGTCGCGAACGGTTAACGGAGAGTCAATCGCTTAACTCGATCACCGGGAATAGGTCAAACGGCGCGGCTCCGGGTTACCCTGAGCATGGCCGAGCCTAGATAAATAGATACGCGATCCGTTGTGCGCGTATCGTAAATCACGCGATCGAAATCTCGGTTTACGAGACGGTTTCGCAGAATTCGGGGCTTCCTTGTTTCGGAGCAGTCGAATTGGTTAGCTCGAAGTTTTCCTTAGAAACTGCATCGAGATTTCAATGGATTTATAATCTGTTACTAATTCAATTCGCACGCTACTAAATCAATTTCGTTACTCATTCCTCGGAGAAGCATCTATTACCTCAACAGCCGCGAAAGATGAATTTAGGAATGATTCATTCTGACCCATTTGACCGTCGTTAGCCTCAACGCCGCTTCCACGTTCGTCTAAAATCAAAGAATCCCGACTCGTCTCGGTTGACGAGTTAATCGAGCACGGAGCCGGTTACCAACGAACCTCGAGCGTTCCGTTGCATCGCTCTCGTTCGAGAAAACGTCTCCCCTCGGATCGCGCGAGGAATGCGCGCCCGACGACTGCATCAATCGTTTAAAGGCGAACGCGGCGCACGTGGCCCGATGCACACGGAGCGCGAAACGCTGCGCTAATCATCCGCTCGCACGCCAAGCAGCCTTTAAACGCGAGTGGGCATAAATCTCGGCCGGCTGCGAAGTTTCGAGCATCGATTCTCGCCGCGCGGGGTGCAACGTGTAACACGCGACTCGCCGGGGATTAATTTCCATCCGACGGTCTAGCGTCTCGCTATCTCCGCGTAGCATCGCCGGTTTCCATGTTGCGCGGCGCGCTTCGGATCGACTCGATCATCGCTATAAATACACCGGTACGAAACCTTACGCGATAGCCTTTATCGCCGATTCAAATCGGATCGCGTTTCGATCCCGTCCGCGGAGCGTTCGCCGAAACTCCCGAAGAATCCCGTCCCGTTTCTCGTGTTTCCTTTCGAACCCTCGAGAAACCGGCGGGGCGGAACGGCGGGGCGGCTTC